GTCCGCGGTGGCTAACAACAGTCGATGACGGTCGGCGGTAGTTGACAAAGGTCAGCGGTGATCGGCTGCGTTCAAACGGTGGTGTGGTCGACGGCGATCGACGATGGCGAGGATGATCTTGGACTTGAACTCCTTCTCAAAGCCTCAAGTTCTCTCTTAAGCCTCTCCTTCATGTGAGGGGTGAGGCTCTATTTATAGTGTTTTGAGTGCAATTAATGCAGGAATATGAACCATTTTGATCGGACGGTCCGGAGAGCTTCCCTTGATCAGATGACGTTTGATGGACATTTGAGTGCCTTAACGATGTCAGAATTGAGCAATCTTGGGCTCGTTGGATTTGTCTTTTTGAGATGTTCGATTCGATTATAAACTCGCTAGATTCGACATCTGTTTGACCTTTCAAATGCCTCCCAAAATCCTGTAGTAGTGGTTTAATGACTTGATTCGAGCCTGATTTGACTCGGATTGGACTAACTTTTATATCATTAGGTCTGTTTCATCGAGCCGATTAGTTTGACTATAATTTTGTTAAAATCGGAGTTTCGGATGACTCGTAATCGAAGTTTGAATGTTTGTGCTCAAAATATTGCATCGAGATTCGTGCTGGATTATGATAATTTGTTGGTGGCGTATCAGTTGCCCCCTACTTTCGGACGATTTTAATTTCTTCGTCCGAAAATATCAAGATGTATAAACTTTTCATTTTATAAGTCATAAAAAAATATAAATAATTTATTATCATTTATATGCATATAAGACTATTGTTTATCCTTTATAAATAAAGAAGTTGAGTATAGCTCAGTTGATGAGTGTCTTTTGTCATTCATAAGTAGTGGGGGTTCAAATTCCACCAAAAACGAAAATAAATATCTTTTTACCAGCTCAAAACCTGACCCGTGGATCCAGAAAACGCGACCCAAACGTGATCCAACGGGTCATGCGAGACCCGACGGGCCAAGAGAGGAATTTGAAGCGGGTCACGGAGGATTAATTAAAGCAGGAATTTGAATGGTTAAAGAAGAATTTGAACAAAAAATTCATGCAGATTTTTAAAATTAAAACGGTAGAATTTGAAAAGTCAAATTAAATGGAAAATGAAATGAAAAGTTCTATTTTTATTTTTTTATAATTTGAGCTATAAAAGCAGAATTTGAAAGACCAAGGTAAAATGAATATGAAATGAAAAGTTTTATTTTTTATTTTTTATAATTTGAGCAATAAAAGCAGAATTTGAAAGGCCAAAATAAAATGAATATGAAATGAAAAGTCTTTTTTATTATTATTATATATATTTTTAATAGTGTGTATTTAATGTTATGTCTCATATCATGCCTATAAATAGAAGCATTGGATGAGGGGAAAAATCACAAGTGAAGAGGAGAAGAAAATTATCCGGCGTTACGGAGAGTAGTTGCGGCGGAACAAAGTGTTGTGGAGAAGAGTTGCGGTGAAGCGGAATAGTTGCGGCGACGAGGCAGAGAGTTGCGACGAAGCGAAGAGTTGCAGAGAAAAGTTACGAAGAGGAGTTGCGGCGAAGCGGAAAGTTGCGGTGCAGAGTTCCAACGAAGAGTTGCAGCAAAGTGTTGCGGTGCAGATTTGCGGCGAAGTCTTGCGGTGCAGATTTGCGGCGAAGTCTTGCGGGCTCGTTGCGGCAAAGCGGAACGTTGCGGTGCAGAGTTCCGGCGAAGAGTTGCAGCAAAGTGTTGCAGTGCAAGTTCCGGCGAAGTGTTGCGGCAAAGATTTGCGGCAAAGAGGAAAGTCGTCCCCGTCCTGCGAAGCAGGCAAGCAACGGGATCTTCTTTCTCGTTGCGGCAAAGAGGAAAGACGGGGCGAAGAGGAAAGTCGTCCCCATCCTGCGTAGCAGACAAGCAACGGGGTCTTCTTTCTCGTTGCGGCGAAGAGGAAAGACAGGGCGAAGAGGAAAGTCGTCCCCATCCTGCGTAGCAGACAAGCAACGGGGTCTTCTTTCTCGTTGCGGCGAAGAGGAAAGTCGTCCCCGTCTTGCGTAACAGGCAAGCAACGAGATCTTCTTTCTCGTTGCGGCAGGTTGTTGCGGCGACACGACGCGTTGCGGGGAAGAATTGCAGCGACGCGACGCGTTACAGTGGTACGTCGCGGCGATGTGTTGCGGCTTGATGACTCGTTGGATGAAGCATCGTGGTGGTGCAACACATTGGATGTCCAATGTCACATAAAAAGGTTACCTTGGAGATAAATCATCAATGACCTTTGACTAGATTGAGGCTATGCATTATAATATTACTTGATGATGTTAATTTGTATGAGAGGAGCCAACGAAAGTCCACTGAGGACTTATTAACCCATTCAAGGTTGTTTATAGAGCTTTGCTCGCTCATGAACCTGTGTGGAAGGGATCATGTGTAGTCCACTAAGGACTGTTAACCTATCCAGGGTTGTTTACCGGAGTTAAAACTCTACGATGTTAACCCATATAGAAGAGGTTAGATCAAAATCCCCTTGGAATGATCGTTCTCTGACTAAGATACAACCAAAGTTGTGTTTTTCTCGGGTCAAGAGCATGATATAACTCGTTCATGAGCCTTTGTACTTTATAAAGATATTTTTATATATAGGAAAGTAAGTGAATAATACTTAAGATATATTGATTATGCATGAGTTGCAATGTAATAACATATGTGGATTACATGATTGGAGTATTACTGATAATACTTGCGAAGATTTTCTGCATTCCAAGTCCGGGGCAGAATTTTCCCATCTGAATCCTTGAGTTTGAAGGTTCCAGGCTTGATCATGGTAGCCACGATATATGGGCCTTCCCAGAGAGGAGATAGTTTATTGCGTTGGGGACCATGACCGGCGGCTTCAATGCTACGCAAGACCAGGTCACCGACGGAGATCGGTCGAGGTTTGACTCTTCGGTTGAAGTAGCGAGCAACTCTTTGGCGGTAGGAAGCAGCTCTGAGGTGGGACACATCGCGTATTTCCGGGAGAAGATCCAACTGTTGTCGGAGCTTTTCTTCATTGCTTTTCGAGTCGAAAGTCTTGACTCGGGGGTTTGGAATTCCGATATCAACGGGAATGACAGCCTCGGTGCCGAAACACAGGTTATATGGAGTTTCTCCAGTTGGAGTACGCGAAGTTGTGCGATAGGCCCAAAGGACGTTGTGCAGCTCTTCTACCCATTGCCCCCCAGCCTTCTCAAGTCGAGTTTTCAATCCTTTGAGCACAGTACGATTCGTCACCTCTGTTTGTCCATTTGTTTGGGGGTG